CCCCAATTTCTTCACCTTCCTCCCCTGTTCCTCAACTAGTGCCTTCCACATTCCCTAACCTCACCAGCCCACAGCACTGTATGCTCCCTCCCATCCTTTCCCCTAATCACCCTCAGGACAAGAGATGCTACCCGCTTCAGATGGCTCCGGCACCTAAGCACTGATTGACTAGCCAACGTGCACATGCCAATTTGCCAGTTAACAAGCAAATCAGAAGACAACTGTTGAACTCATTTTGCACCTTCTCCCACTAAGAAGAAAAGGTACGCACTTATTTTGGTTTCCTCTCTTCCACCCAGAGGCTGATCTTTGTGGAACTTTAAAGAGCTCTTGAAGAAACTTTGAGATGAATATGCCACTGCCAAATTTGGCTGAAATCTACTAAAGTTGTTAAAATGGAATTGATAGAGTGATTACACAAGCTTTCCTTCCTTTGAAAAGTAGGCTAAAAACCCATTAACTGTCTTACTTATGTCATCCTTTCCTTCCCATTCTTCATTTAAAAATAACAATTCTATTCTACTGCATTAGCTTATGTAACCCACCCCTGAGCCAAAGTAGTTGAAACTTTTGGTCTGTATTTATTAAGTATGCGTCCCCCTCTATATGTTTGTCCATTTTAAGGTGCTTGGTATTATGAAAAATAATGGTGAGAAGGTCAGTGAAACCAAATAAGCCTCACTTACGGCTGTCCCTCAAAGTCTCTGGACTGGTATCACTGCAAGCAAGAATGAACTGCTTTTTTCTCTAGCAAGCTGTCAGCTGTTCTCATGGTTACAGATCTAGGAATTTGGAATGACAGGTCACAGTTATGAGAACGAGTAGATTTATTTGGCATGTTTCTATCTAGTAAATAACATTCTCCTATAAAGAGGACAAGAGGCTGCTGTACATTATCATGGTATTTATTCTCTGTGAAAACCACTTTTTAAAGTCTCTGTCCCAACAAAGAAGGTGCTAACCAGACTTAGGTATTTCTTAAAATTGCTCACTCACTGAATGAAGACAAAAATATGTAACTCTTGCACTCTCTCCATTACTATAAATGGACCACTGGTGCTTTCACTGCAAGATTCGGCTGTGTATATACACTTCCCAGATGGCACAAAGCAAGGGTAGAAAAGCATGCTTCCCATTTAAATGCAAGGGAAAGCAGGAAATTGTCATAGGGTAAAACCTATTCTGTCAATTGGGTATTTAAAAAATAACCAGTAATTTTTTATGAAGTTAACTGTCAAGATTTGCAAAGCTCCAACTATGGTGTTATGCAAATCACATTAGCACAGCTATGCACAATTGGTTTTCACAGAACTGCAAGTTCAGCTAAAAGGACAGCAGCAGAACAGGCTTCTCTCACATTTCCAACTCTTCATTGCTGGAGTCTTCCTCCAGGAAAGCCAGAGCATCCAGTTTCCAAAGCCTCTGTTAATTACTGCAAAATGAAACATGGAACTGGTGCCCAGGAACTGGAACACCATCCACTGGGCTTCTCTCAAAGGTGGGCCTGCCTAGATGTGAACAGTGTGCTGTCCCTGCAGAGCCAGGCTGGGACTGTACTGCAATTGTCGGCCATCGCTCCCAAGGTAGTCACTCCCCCCAACAGGGGCCCTAACATGCCACGGACATGCCCACAGACCACACTCAATAAGGAACAAAAATTTAACATTGTCATGATGTGCCAGTTCATCCAACCCAGAATGCTCTGTGAAACACTTCACTGAATCACTCACCCTCCTGGAGAGCTCTCCGATTCCGTGGTGAGCTGCCAGGGAGAACCGTCCTCCGAGGGGCACAGTTGGGGACAGCGCACCCAGGCTTACCATCCTAGGCCTGATAACTCCACGGTGGCAAGCCCTGTACACAGAGGAAGGGCTCCAGAGTTTCCTGGCTCTCTCGCAGCCCTGCACAGGTAGCTTGAGAGCCCACAAAATATTTCAAAGACCCAATTGGGTTTTGATTTCCAGGTCAACAGCAGACAGGCCTCCAGCCAAGAGAGAGGCCTGGGAGGGCCGCCTTCAGCTTAGGTCCCAAGTTCCTGGGTCTGCAGATGAAAGCCTTGAAGCTTCTGATAACAGGAACATTATCAGAAATTCTACTCCCACAGTTGAAGACCTGGGCAAGTTTCCAAGGTCCCTGCTAGGCACTGGGGAGTCTGGTAGGCTTGACATTCCAGCAGCCCTCTGAGTGCCGGTCTGAGCTTAGTCATAAGGTGCCAGGCTCCAAATTAATTTCTAACATTTCCAAAGAAAAGTCTAAGGAAATTCCACTACAAGGGAAACTTTAAAATGTCGTAATTTCCCATGAATTAGGAAACAGCAAATTTGGCCCACCTCTGACTTCAGTTTCCTGCAGAAAAGTCTCAATCCTTCATGTTTCGCTCTTAGAACAAGCCTTCATCTACTAAAATAAATATACTAAATACAATAAATATGAACAAAATGTGCCAATTTACCTCTAAATAGAATCTTCAAAATACAAAACCATTCCTCCTGTTATCCTAAAATTTCTAGTTATTTTCATGTGTGCGTGTCTGCCTTGAACTCAAGGCAGAAAATAACATCTAAACCACAATTATCCACCCTGCCTCAAGACTGATTAGTAGAAAGGACATATTCTGTCAAGTTGAACCCACAGAGGTTCAAAGCACAGGCTCCTACTTTGGCACACTATGTACTCACTGCTTCTTCACTAAAGAAAAATTGCCTGTAAAGACTGGACAGCTGAGCATAGGGGTTGCCAGTATCACAGCATTGTCCAGCACCAAAAGACATCAAACACAAGAACAAGGTTGTCCCAGCCACCTCAGGTATCAGTGAGCACACGCTGGAGCCACCTGAGACAAAGGGCAGTGTGCCTGACCACAGGGAAACTAGCAGATTCATGGGATTCCAGCTATCAGTGGGTAATGCAGCAAGGAAGGAAGGGATGAACTACATCAGCACATATTAAGCAGATGAAAGATTTGGTCCATTTAATTTATTAGGCAGCACAGGTGATACTTAGTTCTGCTGGTTTAGGGTCCTAGGTACCAGTATCAGCTCTGGTTCACCAACTTGCCACAGCAGTGACAGTAAGATAAAGAACATCGGCTGGAATGCAGGCTCTTACTGGGCAGTTTGCCCCACCTTCCCCTGCACTGCAGGTATGGAAAAGTAACTCAGCCTTTAGAAACATGAAGTATTTTACTAGTTGAGTGAATACTTACTTTACCAATGAGGCATGAAAAAATCCTGCAGCTGCACTAAACTTGGGAAATCTGCAAAAACTTTTTCAAAAATTGAATTCTCATAATACTCTTAAAGTTCTCAATTTCGCATGCACCTAAATGAATAGGACATTCTCTCAGGGTTTAAAACATTTATAATACATCTATTTTTAGTTTGTCTATAAATAATTGTTAAAGACCTTCTTCTTTACTTTTAAAATGTTCTTTTCTTGTAATTAGAAGGTGACTAAAGCCTCTTCCAATTTTGCAGTGCCTAGAAACTTCATATAATTTAAAAGAAAGTAATACCACTAACGTCCACTTACACCATATGTTTTAGATACATGCCTGTCAGACTACAGGGAAGGATACAGTTCTAATGACTGATTTAGGACTCAATACTGCATACAATACCAATGACTTCAGCGATGCAGAAGCAAAACCTTAAAGGTAGCACGGCTTCTCGCCTGGAGAATCAGTTTTGCTTCAGTCTGTATTCACAGACAAGTTAACCAGATGCCACAACGCCCTCTCAGAGTTCTCTGTATTGCTAAAGTGTTATCACTAAATTCCTGTTCCCTATTAACCACGCAGGCGGCCCACTGCAATAGCAGGGATACTGAGTCAAATAATCCTATAGCCCTTTTCCATCTTTTAATTTCTATTCCTCTGCTCCTTTCACAAAATCCCCACTAGCATAGCATGTATTTTAGAAAAGAAAGCAAAACAACAGAATCTGGTGCGCAGGGGAAACAATTACTATCTTGGGATCAAACGTACAGATTAAGTAGTATTATTATTAGTTTCTTGATACGCAATATGACAAAGTACAAATACTTTTTTTTTTTTTTTTTCTTTTCCAAAGCCAGGCCACAAGTTGTTGCAAACAAAACCAATATTGCGCACAGTATTTTACCTCCTGTACTGCGTGTCCTCTACAGTAGTAAACCCACAATTACCATGAGAACAGTCCAGATGGAGGTATCACCTACAAGTTGCATTACTTCTTGCTTATACATTTTTTCAAAACACATGTTCTGCTTTCAGTGAACAATTCAGTGCCAATGAGCTGGCAGTAGAACAACAATTTAATTTGTGGTCTCAGTAAAGGTAGAAGGGGGAATTCACTGAAGCAACATAATGAAGTTATAAAACCCCAAGAACCGTACCATAAAGAGCTCATGAAAAAGCAACTAACTATATGCCTTTAAAAGTGCACTTCATGGATGAAAGCTGCCAAATTACAGAGGGGATTTACTGAGAAGAATCTGTTACTGCCAGAATGGACAAAAGCGTGCATTCTACTCATTCCAAGCTCCTCCCCATCTCCTGTCATGCTCACAGCAAGAAGCAGCTCAAAAACTGACAACCACAGACTCCAGGATTGGAAGAGACAAAAAAATACCTGCTGGTAAATGCCAGAAAAAAATTTATTTTGAAGATCTGGTAAAGGAGACTGGGGGAAAAAAAAAAAAAAACAACAACCCAAACAAAAAAAACAACCCACCTACGACCAGAAAACGTGCCCCCGTATTCTTGGGACATCAACACAATTTCGCAGCAGGAAGGAAGCAGCGCGCACCTGGCCGGGTTTCAGGAGAGCCAACGTGCAGCAATGCTTTTCAAACAGGCGCTGCGACTCGCGTACCGCACCGCCGCCCGCTCCCCGGAGCTGGGTCACGGTAACCTCATCCCACACGGGAGCGCCTGGTGACCCCGAGGCACCCGGGGGACACCCAGCAGGCTCGCCCAGCCGCCCTCCGGGCGAAACGCACTCCCCCCGCCATACCCCTACCTGGTTGCTCTCCTCGCCGTGCTCCAGGTGCACGATGCCCTGGCTCCTGCCCTCCGTGTCGCTCAGCACGTCGTCCTCCGAGTCCTCCAGGAGGGACGAGGAGCCGGTGGACGAGAGCGAGGAGGTGGAAAGCCTGCGGTGCAGCGAGCTGTCCGTCCTCAGCCAGCCGCCCTCCGGGTGCGGCGGTCGCGCCTGGGGGCTGCCCTGCGCCTCCTCGCTCTCCTCGGCGGTGACGGTGAGCCG